AGAAGTTGTACAAAGCATGATTGTCTGCATTAGTACATTTCAAAGCCAAGAGTACAACACCAGAGTTCTGTGGTATGAACTAGAGGCCAGTCAGTTTCTGATGATGCTTGTGACACTGTAATGAATTCAAGGGGTTTAATGTGGTTTCAAAGCAAGTTTTAGTGAACACCTACTTGTCCTGGGTTGCAGCAGGCAGTGGAAGTAGGCTGACTTCCCAAACAGGAACTGCCTCCTCAGAGGTCATTCTCAGTCAGAGGCTTCTGCATCAGAATGTAACCACTAGAATTTGCCCTTTTGGACTTGCAGAATCCTGGATAAGTAAGTAGAATGAATTTTTCATTGTTCTCAGTGTTCTAATAACTGCTGCCATCGTTTGTCAGTTGATTGTGTTATGTCTTCTGAGATGTCTCTGCCTTGTTTAGTGCTGGCACAAGACAAGCAGTCATTACTGTGTTTAAGCGAAAAAACTCTAAAAACCTTTGGCTGTCTTGCTTCTCTGTTGGTGGGAACTTATGGCCACCTCTGTCCAACTAAATTTTGCATAAAGGAAACAATCACCAATTCCATAGAGAAATCAGTTACTTTAGTCCTTGTGACTCTGGGCTCTGAAAATAATATATGAACAAAAAGAAAAAGAATATGAACAGCATTCATCTTAACTTGTAAGTATTGTGCTTGCATAGTCTGAAAGTAGTGGTGTTCTTTTTTTTCCTTATCTGATGTGTTTGGGAAAGAAACTTGCCTATGTTAGAGGATGTGAAGTATATAGTAAGGTTTGGAAGTACGTTTGGGAGTACGGGTGGCTCTGCTTTAAGATGGACTGACTTTTGACATTTTAAAATAAGCCACTTCTGCAGTGTTAAATGTTTCTGAATGTCATCCTTATTTCTGAAATGAGGCATTCAAAATCTTTATGCTCTGTTCAGAATCTTTGAACTAATTATACTTTTATGTAAGCACTGATTTCCTAATCTGTGTGGGCTTTCATTGTTGTGTTCTACAAGGTTTTACTTGAAGAAATAAATTCTACCTTCTGCCCAATGACATGGGAGAGCAGATCTCTGTCTTGTAGCCATTTCTCAGCTCACTGAGATGCAAGTGTCCTAGCTCCCTAGTTAATACCTTTGATAGAGTCCAGGTAGGAGGTGGTAAAGTTTGTATTTCACTGCTACAAGAACAGATATGGTAGAGAAGCTATGTCACCAGGCAGTGCTTTTCATGTGGATTTCTAAAATCTGTGAGAACAAGAGATCAACTCATCATAATTTTCAACTTTTGTTCCTTTATAAGAATGATGATTCTAGTATTGCTCTACTGAGGGGGTTGTTAGAAAAAAAAATACAGATTTTTTAAGTGCCTTAAATAGAAAATGCGATGCAAGAAAACATAGTACTTATAATTCATAGATCTCGATTCTACGTTTGTGTTGTCCTGTGGATTTAGAGATGGGTTTTGCTTTCTTGATTGTGCTGCTGCAGGAACCAGAGCAGATGTTGCCTTTTGGATATACCCAGAAACCAAGAGAGAAAAATCATAGTAAATGGATTTGTTATTTAGAGGGAATGTAGGGTCCAAGCTCAGTATTCATCATATGTGTGAATGAAATACTTCCTGATCACTTTTATATGCAGTTGAGGGTGAATGAAGGTTCAGCCATGCTGTAAGTGTAGAACTTAACAAGGAGATGAACATGTATGGGAAGAACCAAGTTTGGCAGTTCACTGCTTTTGGTCTGTTTGCCAAGCTCAAATGCCAAAATATAACTTCAAACTATGATTCCCATACATAACCTAAGCAGAAAGCAAAATGTGGCCTTCTCCAATCAAATAAACATTCGTTTTCTTACCCATTCCTAGGCAGTGGGTGGCTTCTTCTCTGACAAGTCTGCCCAGCAATTCCAAGCAGAGAGAGGCAAAAGGTTTTCACTTGTACCTTACAGTGGTGTTTCCTAGTCATACTGGGAAATCATGTATATTATTCTAAAACTTTAATCAGTGTACATTGTTCTTACGTTTTTCTTTCTTTGAGTGATATTTATTTTGTGAGGATTATCAAACAAGTGGAAGATGTTGATAATGTGAGTAATGCATAGTACTTATGACAAGTCTGGATTCTTCCCTTCACAGTATGCAGGTCCAGGAACTGCACCACATGGTTGATTTTGCAGGCTTTGTGCATCCCAGAGTTTATTTTGAAAGGTTTATAATGCTGTCTTACAAAACCTGTGCCTCTTCCTCTCCTCCCCACTTACTGTATCAGTAATAGATCAGCTCAGAAGAATGTGCCATATCTGTGTTGTGTTCCAAGTCTTTTAAAATCTTTCAGTCTGGAGAAGAGGAGGCTCAGGGAAGTTTTAGTGAGCTGGGAGGTTTTAGTGAAGGGAGGTTTTAGTGATCTGGGGGTTGGCCTCTTCTCTCATGGAAGTAGTGATAGGACTAGAGGGAATGGCTTCAAGCTGCACCAGGGGAGATTCAGGCTGGACATTAGGAAATACTACTTTTCAGAAAGAGTGGTCAGGCACTGGAATGGGCTGCCCAGGGAAGTGGTGGAGTCACCGACCCTGAAGGTGTTCAAGGAACATCTGGACATTGTGTTGAGGGACGTGGGTTAGTGAGAACTACTGGTGATCGGTGGATGGTTGGACTGAGTGATGCTGTGGGTCTTTTCCAACCTTCGTGATTCTATGAAATCACATTTGTATTATAAGATGTCTGTTTCCTGTTCCTTTAATGATCAGTGTGGAGAGGTACATTTGTATTCTCATCTATATATGAGGCACATATATATTCTGATCTATATAAGATTGTGTGTTCTAGCCCTCATTAATCAAAATGACACTTTCTACACCTTCAAGTATTTTTGCACTTGCACATGAAGTGCTTTTCCAAAACTCTGTTCTGCCTCATTGATCTCTGCATTGTTCAATTTTCAGACCAAGGTGTCTAAAGCTAGCTGGAAAGATAGAAAAGTTGGCTTCTAATGTGATTTCTTTCATCTTTTATTTGTAGAATTGGTATTAGAAACTGTGCAGAAGGACTTTCCAAGTTTGCTTTTTGCATCAAGCTTGGCACAGACATGAACAACCACATCTCATCTTGTGCTGAAAATCATACTGCCTACTTCCAGAGAAAGTGCTAGGAGACACAGTTGCACTGGGAAGCTGCTTAAGGGAAAGGATTCTGTTAGACACTGAGGAAAAGAAAGCAAGGCACAGGCTTTTCCTCCTTAACTGTTCAAACGTTGCCCATTCTAAAGCTTCTCTCCCAGATGAAAGCCAAGGGGTAGATCCTACTGGTACTCAAATCCAAGAGAATCACGGGATTTAAATTCAGTAACTTGTCCACTAGGAAAGAACATGGAAGACTGCTCATTCCAAGATTTCCCATTGTGTGCATACAAATCAGCAGCCACCTGAGTGAATGTGACGCAGGAGAAAACCTTTTCTAGGCTTGAAGAACTTTGGAACATATGAAGACCTCCCATTCATCTATTTAATGCATAGAATACATTGGTGGCTGGGAGATAGGTGTGTACACAGTGCCAGGAGGGGGAATTTATTATTAGTCCTGCTTCCTACATCAGTTTGGTGGATGTTCTGAGTGCGGGAGCCCTGCAGGCATCTCCAAATCCCCACAGAAGCCCACTGCCACCATCTTACATTTGTCCTGCCCATGGGAATGTGTGAAACAAACGGTCTTCTGTATTGCAGCTCATCCTGAGGTATCTTGGCTGAAGACTCGAAATATTTGCACCTTTAAGATCTGAGAATCTCCTCTCCATTGTTTATGGTGTAAGCGCAGCCATTTTTCTTGTCCTGTTAGTGCTTTGAACTTGCTAAGGTCTGAAGGCTTCAGTTAAAAAAATAAAAGGTAATGTGGAAGTAAATATCATCATGAACATTGGTGTAAAAATTTCTTGCACTCTTTACCCCAGAAGCAGAGAGCATAGATAGCATTTGAAGAAGTAGAATTTGAGGAAAAACACCAGTGGCAAGTACTGTCTCTTCTCACAAGAGACATCTATTTCATGTCACCCATAAGGAGTGCAACGTAAGAACTGCTGCTGTGTCCTCACAAGAGGTTAATCTTCATTGGTTCCCTCCTTGTAGTAAGTTTTTTAGGAGGAACGTGCATAGGCGGTGCAAGGAGAAGCTGCTTCTGAAATGAGCTGTGTGGAGCTGTGAGTTGAGCAGGGTGTGCGATGGGTAACTTAGAGCCAGAGTTATTAGGATTAGAAAACACTGATGTTTCAAGTTGCCGTTTAGAGATACTAATGAGCAGCGATGGAAGCGCTCACCTTTTGACTCTTGTGTAGCTTACAGTGGTTTGACAACCTGCTCTGGCCGTGACTCAGCGCTTACCTGGAAGCATGCGTTTATTTTTGGCATCCCAAAGTGTAATTCAGCTGCCTGTACACAGCCTAGAGAGATGAAACACTGCAGAAACCCCCCTGCCCGGAGCGGGTCGGGTCGGTTCCGGCTCCGGGCGGGTAGCGGCGCCCTCCGTGCAGCCGAAGCCCGGGTGCCCGGGGCCGAGCTCCCCTTCGGCGCGGGTCCGCCCGCGGACAGGAGGGCCGGGCCGGGGGGAAGGGGCGTCGCCATCTGGTGTTAATTCCCCGGCCATCGGATTCGTGACCCGCCGCGATGAGATCAGCGGGATCGGCTTTCGCGAGGGGGCACGGCGGTCCCCGCCGCCGCTCTCCCCAGCTGCGTCGGCTCTCGCATGCGGCGGCGGCGGCGGGCGGCGCCGGGGGAGGCAGCGCGCACAAAGCCCGGTAGCCGCGCCAGGCCGCCTCCCGCCCGCACCGGGCACCGGGCGGGGCTCCCGGGCGGCCCGGCCCGGCCCAGCCGAGCGCGGCGCAGCCGAGCGGGGCGCGCCGCCCCGGTCCCGCCGCCCACCCCCGGGCGCTCTGCCCGCCTCGCCGCTGGGCCGCGGCTCCGGGCAGCGCCGCGCGCCAGCGCCCGGCTCGTCTGCGCGCCTCCCGGGGCGGCTGCCGGCGCGGCGGGGTCTTCCTGCCCCCGGCGGAGCGACGCGTGGGGAGATTCTCCTGCGAGGCGCGGCGAGTTCGTTCTTGGTCTTCTTTGAGTTTGTTTACTTACGGTTCGCGTCCTCTCCTCTGGATTGCCCTTCTGGTCGCGTAGCGGATCCGTAGAGTTGCTTGGATGGTTGTCTTATGGTAAGTTTGGGCGGATAGGTTCGTCTGCTTGTGCTAGTTTTGTGTTTTGTTGCACGGGAAGTCTGTGGAGATGAGGTGCTTTTTTACACAGTGCTGTTTTCCATGCTGGTGTTAGCAGAAATACATTTCTGAAATGTTTCCTGTTTAATAATGTAACGTTTTGAAGAAGAAATTACTTATTTGACTTGTGAAAGAGAATTACTCCTAGATGTTAGCTTAGCTGAAGACTTAGGTTTCTTATAAACTTGGGTTGATCTGACTTTACGCTGGTGCAAGCAAACCCTCCTGTGTAACGCCTGCCGCAAGCCAGTATTCGGCGATTTTTAGTTGGTGCTTTTTCAGGCACTAAAACCTCGGCTTCACCGTTCAGATTGGCTGGAAATATTGAGCCATCTCAGTGAGGGGAAGAGGCAACTCGATTCGGACGCGAGGCTTGACTTGCCACAAAGAAAGGTACTGCCCGAATTCGTCCTCTAGTTACTTCTAAAAACTCGTGCTGCTGGCGGTGCTGGCGTGCAGCGATTCTGCGGCCGAGGGCTGGAGAAGTGCGCGCTGCGCTCTGCCCCATTCATTCTCGAGGATCGCCTGTGTGTCAGCGCGGCGGAGGAAGTTGATGTGGCAGCGTCCGTGCTGGCGGCGAGTCGCTTCTGTTCCTTTGTGTTTAGTAGTTGCGCTTGGAGCGCTGTGCGGGGAAAGTGTCCTTTGTATGGGCATGGCTGGTCGCTGGTTTGATACTGGCTGAAGTGTGTAAGTTGTGACTGATGTTTTCACAGAGCCTTTGCCGTGGGTGACAGAAACGATCCCTGATGAGGTGTCTGCTGGCTGTGAAAGGCTTCATCCTCCAGGGAGGAGCCAGCCCCATGGAGCCGTTTGTTGTGCTTGGGGCTGGAACTTGCCCCGCTTCTCCAACTATTTTGAAGGATGCTGCATTTTTAATGTTGTTTCTGTAACTAAAGCAGCCTGTCAGGAATGTGAATATCAAATTGCTGTGACATTATTTGGTGCTCCTGACAGAACAATGCCAGATACCACACGTTCTCTTAACAAGTCAAAGTTTTATAACTGGCATTGGTACTAGTGTGGTTCTCTCAGTGGCTGACATGCCTCACAGTCCTGCTTCTGGCTGTGCCTGGCTGGGTGCACGCTGACAGCTCCCACATCACGGGGATGAGTGGCAGAGCTCCACAGCCTTGCCAAAGCCCTCCTACAGGTGTATGGGTGTTGCTGGTCTCCATCCTGCAGACCCAGCACCAATGCAGTCTACGGGTCTGTGGCTGTCTTTGTTAATGTTACCCATGCCTATTCAGAAGCCTCAGGCTTCCTGTCCAACAGGACTGGGGCTTTGATGTAATCAAAGTTCTGGCTTTTTCCAAGTAGCCCTTGAGAGTTGAGGGTTTTGTTTATTTGCATTGGGGTTTTTTTATTGTTTTATGTGTAGAAACACAAAAACAAGCAATGAAACCCCAACCCTCTAGTGAAGTACTGCCTGAATATCTTGCTTCCTGAAGCAATCAGAGCTGATGATTTTTGATCTGACCAAATTAGTCATCCTCATGATTTGTGTCCTGTGCCACACAGGAATTTCTGAGCCGTGGGCCACCTCTCCCATGACTTCATGTGCAGAAGCTCATTAACTTAACAGGCTTCATTGTTGCTCTGTGAACTTCTGTAATGGATTTTCCATGTATCTAGAAAAATCAAGCAAGCTCTTTTTGTCTTATTTTCTTTTGCAATCAGCATTTGCCCTTCTTCTATGGATAGGTCACAGCCCTCTTTCTGTGGGGAAGGAGAATACTTGGCACAGAGGAACCCTGTGCTGGATTCCAGGGTGCTGTTTGAGGGTTACTTCAGTTGGATTTTTTTTTTTTTTTTTTTAAATTGAGATAGTTGGAGACCTGTCCTGTGCCTACACACTTAAGGTACGGTAGCAACAATGGAATAAGAAAGCAGAGCGTGGTTTTATGATGCATTTACAGTTAAAAATACTTAATTAAAGTGATTAGCAGCAGTGGTTAGGCACCCAGCTGTCCTGTCTCCTTAATTCCTCTTCGCCAAGATGAGAGTGAAAAAGAGGGTGAAAAGAAGCTGAAGGGATGCCTTTGCCAGAGTGAAGTTCTGTACCTCAGTTGCATTTAGTCTGCATTTTCTCTTTAGCTCATTTGGCTGCTCACTGCTGTTCACTGACATCCTTTACTCATGTGCTTTCATGCTCTGGCAACATCACTTCAGTGCAAACATGAGGCTTCTAGAGCACTTCTGGGTGCTGTGTATCCCAGCTTGAATAGAACAACATGGAGCAGTGTTGCTATTCACTTCCATTTCCACTTCTCCTAGTGACAATAAATGTACTCTTCTTAATGTAATATACACAGAGGGAAGCGTAGAGGTTTGACGTAAATGTTGCTGGACTTCATAAGCCCTGGCTGAAGGCCAAAGAAAGGCAGCTGGCAGAGGGGAGCACGAGTTGGTGTTGCCTGGTCCTGCTGGCTGCTCTGTGAAATGGGGCTCTGTGCTGGTGGAACTCGGCTTAGACTGATGCAGCTCATTTTGTTCCGTTTTGCTGGGCTATGTTAATACAGCACACAGCTTGAGGCTAATGGAAATGTAGGCCACACATGTTGTCCTGGGGTCTTAAAGTATTTATTAAGCCAGTACAAGCCCATTTGCTGCTCTGAAACCAATGGTTAAAAAAATGTGGTAATGTGGTTATTCAACCAGTGGCTTTAAGTCAAAGCTCAATGTACGGTTGCTATGCATAGCTAACTATTTGCTGATAATTCTGTAAATTACTGTTGTTGGTCTTACTGTTAGAAAATAAACATATGCTGTGGACTGAAACTTGCCAGACCAGATAGCTACCTCACCCACACGTATTTTTCATGGGACTGCATACGTTGCCGAGAGCAACACAGACTCATTAACATATACATGTCTTTCAGCAAGGACTTAAAGCTGTCTTTGTAAAATGCAGTTTAAGATAGGAAGAGCTCTGGTTGATGTGTGAGCGCTGCTCTGAAAGCAGTTCTTCCTATTTTATGATGTTAGCTCACACCGTCAGGCGGATGTTGGTGGTATGGCAGTAGAGGTTGAACCTTCCCACCAATATTCTGTTATGTTTTGTTGCTGTGTGACAGATGGCAGCATGGCAAAATGGCATCTGACATGGAAATGCATATGAAACAAAGGTGTGGAACCGAATTCCTCCGTGTGGAAAAAAATGGCACCCATTGACATTCATGGATGCTTGCTGAGTGCTTCTGGAGACCAAACAGTGGATGTGAGCAGTGAGGCCTCAGGAGGACTTTCAGCTAAGAACTGCCAGAATCTGATTGGCAGTATTTGCTTAAAACCTAATGGCTGTATTTCAGCTACCCCTTTCCTGTTACAGACTGGGCCTGCACATCAAGATCATTAGGAAGAAGTCACTTTTTTTCCTTTTTTTGTCTAATTCTGGACCAAAAATGGAATGGTAGGTTCTAGTGCACTTATATTTGTTTGTATATTTGAGACTTTGTGCCATTTTTCTTAAAGGGATATTTGCTTTGCCTCAGAGACCAGTGCAGTTAGTTCATCCCTTATGCATTCTTTTCCTTAGTGAGAAACATGGGCATTCAGCTTTGACCTAGATCTGTTCATAATAAAGTCAGCTGAACTTAAACCAAAGCTAAGCAGCAGCAGTTATATTTCCTTCCCTTTTGTGCATCTTTGGGTTGGACACTGTAGGCTAATCCTGTTGGTGATGGGTGTCAGGTGCCGAGTTGGATTGTGTTGTGCTGCAGTGTGGGTGACTTAGCAACTTTATCTTTCAGGATTTGTCAGAGGCTGAGTGACAAGTAAGCTGTGGTGTGCAGCATAAAACGTGGCAGTGAAATCCATCTTTGAGCTGACTGCAGACTAATTCTTGCAGGGCCATACAGCAGACTCTCTAGTTGAGTTCACTTTCTTGTAAATTTCCTGAAGTGTTCTTGTTGGCTACCCAAGTCTCAAATGCACTTACATGCTGTTTCGACTGGGCTGTCCATTTTTATTTTAACAATTCCTAAGGAACATATTGCAAACGGACTTTGAGAGATATCCCACCTTCATCCTCCCTTGCCAGAAGAATGAAGAATACTTTCCTGCAGAAGAAAGAATACTTTCCTGCAGAAGTAGGTCCGTGTCCTGAAACATAACCAAGATCTGGATTGTTCTAGCTCTGTCTTCTGTAACTTTTCCTTTGTGTTATCTGCTAATCTTTCTCAGCAGCTAGATGCAGTAAAAAGCCTGAAACGTTTCTGTCTCAAGTCTTCAGTAGAGGGTTGTAAAAGGACTGTTGACGTGCACTTTGCTGTTGCTGTTTCCTTAGATTTCGGTATTGTCAGTCTCTGAGGCTGCTAACATCTGGCTAATATTAATTGTGATTGTCATGCTTGCAATTCACAATGTACTGATCATTCATTAAATATGTATATAGTCCTCGTTTTTGATGTTGCAAGATAAAAAGGGTGTGTTTTCTGTCATCTTTCCTATTCAAAAGCAAATAGCGTGTTGAGGCTGCTGGTTACTTAAAATGTTTAAAATATCAGATAAAGAAGATCCTCTGTACTTTGGTCAGTGCTAACATAACTCTTTCCAGTAATCTTAAAAATCTTACATGTAGTTCATTGATGACTTGAATAAAGTAAGATTCAGTATTGTAAGTACAGTGATCATCTATCAAAGATGTGAAAATGTGTATGCATCTGGAGAAAAGGTGAATCAACTAAGTGTAAAAATTCATCAGTTTTAAGAAATGAAATGTGAAATGTAAGCAGTTGTCATAGGTGAGGGGCACAGATGTAATCAGAAGTTTCTGTGAGATACTTATGTGTGCCTGAACTCCATGCTGTGGGACGTTAGTGCTGTCATGGCAGTGTCCCTTCCCTTGCTTGCTGAAGTGGCTCCTATTAAGTGGTGCTGGGAATAGAAGAAAGTGAATGAGATTCCTGCCTTGATTTCATGTCTAGGGAGGGATAGGGTGG